ACAGAATCTGATAGGAATTGAAACCTTTTAAAACATGCCCAGACAAGAAATTGCATGCAAATGGGGCATAGGAATTGACAGAACCGACGCAAATTCCAATTTTTTTACGGACTACAAGATCAACATAAGCAATAAACAGGATCGAGGACTGCAAGCACGAGGGACAAAAAGAAAGGTACCGATTTGCGGAGGGATGGGGAAGCGGAGGGGTATCGACTGCGGACGAGGGATGCGATGGAGGAGACCGCCTCCTCGAACGATTGTTTCTTCCCGAGCTTCCTCTGCAGCGCCTGCAACTCCTCCATCACCGCCTGCTCCGAGCCCATGATTTCGCTCATCCACCTCCGATCGAAGCTGGATCTCTCCTCAACCTTTGAGGAGAAGAGGAACCCTAGAATTCGCGCTTAATAGAAGAAAGCTGGGGCGGTTTCTTGGTTAAGGGGAAAGAGCCGACACGGAGAAGGCGACGGCTGGCCGACGAGATCGCCACTTTCGCGGGTCCTTCGAAATATCCCCAAAAGTATAACCGGGTGAGATGAGATGACAAAAACATAAGGGACCCACGCGTCTCTTGGACGTTAGCTGGTAAGAACGTGGGTCGTTCCTGGGGCGCTCAAAACAGGGAACAGCTAGATTTTCCAATGGTCAGATGACGCCTGTGCCGCCCTTTAATATTTAGGCATAAGTTTTGATTCTTTTAACACCATATTTCCTTAATTTTAATATTATTAGGTTATTTTACTTAATAGTTTACAATTCAAAACTAAATCTAAGATTTTTTAATTCTAATTTATTTTTTCACAATTCATAATTTTTCATTTTTTAAGATCCAATCTTCATCAAATCTCTCATACTAAGTAATGCATAATCACACCCCAACCAATTAATTTGTAGTGTGCGCAAATAATAATAATATTATTATCATCATTATCATCATCATTCTTCTTCTTCTTCTTCTACCACCATCAAACTAGTAACTAAAATTATCATTTTCTTGTTATAACTTGGAGGAACTTACCAAGTATATCACATCTCTAAAGACTTATAAGGAGAAAATTATTTACAACTGTTACCTTCGATCGAGCGTAAAACAATCTGATTCAAAGACATTATCAAGATTTTGAATAAGCCTTTAGTAAAAATCAAATACGAGAATACAATATGATAAAAGATCAATATTAGTAGTGTTTTCAATAAATTGTCATTAACTTTTAGTCCAAAGAAAAACAAAACTACAAGTCTCCTCCTCTGTTATGTAAAGATATCACTATCAATTTTTCTAAAGATTAGAGCCCTCAGCATTTTATAAGACTCATTTGGAACCCTCAACTTTTTACAGGTGAGTTCGATACATCACAATTCTGATTTTATCTGATAATATATTAAACTTTCAACCCAAATTATAGTTTCCAATTCTTAACATTGCTAAGTAATATTAGAAAACAAACTATAGGATAACTCTGGCATGACACATTATATGACATATTAATCTATTTTAGATTCAAAACTATTGGTATCAACAATTAAGGCAATTAATTATAAGAAATGGACATTTGACAAGAGAGACCTGAGAGGCTTACTGGACTGATGCCATACTAATGGAGTCATATCACATTCTCCACTAATGTGGCTAATTAATAATGGAACCCATCATCCTTATCTTACCTTGGTTGATGTGAATGAGGTGTAAAGTGAGCTTCTTTTTCCTTTTCATGAAAACTAAAATCACTTAATCTTTATTATCTTTATTTACTCTCAAGAGATTATATATAAATATATATATATATATATATATTTATATATGTATGTATGTATATAATACAAAATAGAATAAAAGAAAGAAA